AGCTGGGCTAATCTTATCGTGATATCTGGAAAAAAACTCGACCGTGTGCGCAGCCATTAAGGTTGTGACAGCTCACCTTGCTAGACACTTGGTTGTTTCGTCAACCCGTCCTTTGCCAAGCACCACCAAGCAAAGGATGGAGATTTTGATCTTTCCGAATTCCAAATGTGTGTGTGTGTCTGTTAGTTACATGGTCGTGGGGGCGTGTACGCAGTACCTGCAAATTTGTCGCATGAATGGTACCTGCAGGACTGCGAGGCTCCATCCTTCAGACATGCCTCGAAAGGCCCCTCTGCGAGGTTGCTCGCATCACTCCGCCTCCTGAGCCTGTCCAAGACTTCAGCCAACATAAACGGGCCCCACATTTAGCATTATTATTATTATTATTATTTATTATTATTATTATTGTTGTTGTTATTGTTATTGTTATTATTGTTATTACTATTATTATTGTTGTTGTTGTTATTAATAATAATAATTATTATTATTATTTTAACATTATTATTATTACCCACGAGGATTCACGACTAGCACCCTTTCCCCTGTATTTAAGAAAGGGAACGCATCCTGTTGCGAAAATTATCGGGGTATTGCGGTTGGGGGTCCGCTGTGCAAGCTCTACGCCAACCTTGTCGGGAGGTGGCTCACCAAGTTTTGTAAAGGCAATGGGCTTCGTGCCGCTGAGCCAGGCGGTGTGTAGCACCACCTATTTACGCTGCGGCATCTCATTTCTAAGCACACGGCGGCCGGAGCTAAGCCGCTTATCATCATGCAAATTGACTTCAGTAAGGCGTTTGATTCGGTCGACCACGAGACGCTCTGGCGGTTCCTTCAGTCGTACGGGCTACACGGTCGCATCCTCAATTCACTGAAGACCAGCTATGCAGACGTGAAGGTTCGGGTCAAGTTGGGTAGTCAGTTGGGGCCTGAATTCTCCGTGGGGGGGGCCATAAGCAAGGGTGCCCCCTTAGTGTCACCCTTTTCAGACTATTCATTGAGTTGTTCGCTCATTTTACACAATCGAGGCCCACGATACCGATTGCCGTGTGCGCCTTCCTGAACGATGGAACAAACATCCTCCGTAAGCAGGGTGTAAGCCTGGAGGGAGGTGAGCTCACCAACTTGTTTTTTGTCGATGATGCGTCATTAGTTGCAACTGGCCACGAGAGAGCCCAATGCTTACTCGGACTCCTCGGGGCCTTCTGCAAGGTGACAGGAATGGCCGCGAACGCAGCCACCAAGTGTGAGGTCCTCATTTTTGGGGGCACAGCACACGGGAGAAGTAGCGCCTTATGGAAGCCGACTACCGGTTATGTGGGGCGTGTTTGAGGGTACTGGCTGGTAACGAGACGGCGTGATACCTCGGGCTACATTACGGCCCAGGCACGCAGCTCTCAGCCTGCACCAAACAACTACTAGCGGCAGGGAAACGGGCCACGTTTGGCCTCAGTGCCCTGTGTCGAGATTTGAAAACTAGTACCCTTAAGCTGTGCATGTCCGTCTATAACGCGCTCGTTGTGCCGGTGTTTTCGTATGGAGCGCAAGTTTGGGGACCTGATTTTATTAGTGTGAATTACAAGAGCGCGGTGCCGAACTCTATGGTGCAGGAACAGCACGCGTATATGCGGTCAGTGGTAGGAGTGAGGAGCCCGACTATGGTTTCGCTTTATCGCGAGCTGTCACAAAGGCCGCTCCAGTTCCATTGGGGCAATCTTGTGCTAAAGGTTTTGATCTCAATTGTCAAGAGGCCTGGGACACTGTGCCACCAGGCCTTCATTGCCGACCTTGAACTGGCTCTGGGGGGGTTACTGAGTGCTGGACGAGCAAGGTCCTAGCTTTCCTTCAGAGTTTGGGAGCTGAGCCCCCAGCCAGTCTGCGCGGTGATGGCCTCATGGCGCATTACGCCACCGTTAGGTTGCCAGTGGGAAGCGCACTTGGAGTTCGCTAGGCGGCTCGACACCCGGTGGGAGTGCCTGGATACCCTAGGCGACCCGCGCACCTTCCCAAGTGGAAGTAACGGCGTCAAGGCATGTCGCTATTCGAACTGGATGGGGCGCCCCCACTTAGGGGCACGCGGCATAGATGGCATTAGGCCCACGCTGAAATCGCCATGAGCTAAGTACGAACATGACCTCGCGTTTCAAGGGCGCAACATGCGCACGTTTATGACCGAGGCCCCACCCCTGGCACTAGCCAGCCAGTTCCTCTCGGAAGCCTGGGAGACCCGGCACGTTGCTATAAGGCGCTTCGTGCTCAAGCGGACGAGGGAGGACGATGATGGTCCACCACGTAACCGCACTAAAAACGATTTACCGTCCATGGGCCCCCCGGCTTTTACAGACAACCCCGCACTCGTGTGGGACTGGCAACTCGTAACTTTAACAACTGTGCAACAGTATTGCTCGTACCTCCGTATCAAGACACCTCATCCTCACATCCGGGCCGAACAACTTTAGCCTATCCAATTTTGTACTCAGCGTGAACATAGCTGCCCTAGCTGTGTGGTACAACTGCTGGCGGCAGGCCCGCAACGGCCATTCTGCCCCATACACTAACCCCAGAAATCGTGCACCCTCCCTGGCGGGTATGGCCTCACCAGCCAGCCTGAACTCATCACACGATGCTTGAACAGCACTCCTTGTGTCGCTGTCGCTCGCAAAAACGAGGCGTTCACATTTCAACACATTTGGCCGCATCCCAAAATCATTACAGAACATGTTCACGATTTTGAGCAGCTCCGCCATGCGCTCGGGTGTCGTTGCCTGTGGTGTCGTTGCCTGTTGTACTTTGGTAACAAAAACGGCGCCACAAGAGCAGTAGGTCCAATGCGGAGGGTACAAATTGGTGCTGGAGCACATGGGTGTCGAGGCTGGTATGTGTATTAGCTGTCGGCACTGCACGGCACGGCAGGGTAATGGCTTGCATGTGGACTTTCGCTTCAAATCATCCTCACACAACCTCCCCCCCCGGAAAGAGATTGACATTCAACAAGTACACACGCACATACACATACACACACATACACATACATACACGTCCCTTTCCAGACCGACTTGGTAAACGAGGAAAGCTCAAATCGATGACAAAATCAGAGCTCCGGAACCACACAGCAATAGGCTGCCGTTGCTCTGGGGTATCCCCCTTTTCCCAAGCAAGAAGTCAAGAGTACAATATCCCCTCCCACTCCTCTGCTTTCCTACATTAACATAAAAGATAACACCCAACTCCCCCAAAAGTCAACCACGGGAACATGGGCCTGTGTTCAGGTGGGGGCCCCCACTGTCCTCCCTATGGCATAAACATGCCGGTTACCGACCGTTTGGGGCCCATTAACCCAACCGGCCGGTTGAATGGCGTTAACGGCCCGGTTGGGTTAACGGTCGGTGG